TTATTGAAGTTAAACTGTCATCACTATAATCTAGATTGCTATAAATTTAGGGTGGTAAACATAATCCCCATGTTAACCATAAAGAAAATTTCTTTTGAAATGTACACAAAAGGCAATGAATAGGGAATAAAAATGATTCACCACAAAAAAAATCTAGTAGACACCCACAAAAAAGAGAAGAATGTGAGAAACTACAGGACAAAAATAAATGAAAATTAATACCAAATGCAAGAAGTAACTCTATCTTTTTCAGCAATTAATTTAAATGAGAACTTAACTCTCCAATCTAAATGGACACATTGGTCGAATGTATAATAAAACATAGTTCAACTATACGCTGTCTAAAAGGGACTCATAGTAAATCAAAAGATACAATAGTTTGAAAGGGAAAACTTGGGGGCAGAAGACTATAAGAGAACCAGGATAGCTATATTATAATTAGACGAAATTGATTTGGAGTCTGTCTGTTAGAAGAGGCAGAAGGGTATTTCACAATGATAAAAGGATCAATTTGTAAGGAAGAGATAACAATTTAAACATGCCTAATACATAAGACCAAAAGTGACCATATAGTTGATATATATGTTCATCCAGGAGAAAATTAGATAAGGGAAAACAGTAGAATGCTACAATCATAATGTATGACATATTGAATTGAAATCTTACTAAAATTACAAATTATTTTAATCCATCTATGTTTTGTGCATGTTGTTGTTGTTGTTAAGTTCTGTCGAGTCAGTACTGACTCATAGTGACCCTTTATAGGATTTCAAAGGAGTGGCTGGTGAGTTTGAACCACCAACCTTGTGGTTCAAACTGACCTTGCAGTCCAGAGTTTTATTACACAGTACCACACCATGTTCAGTGCAGTGACAAGGCTACAACAAATTTTGTTGACTTAAAATGACAGCACTAACTGCATAGAACAAGTAAAAAAACTGCACTCCCTGATACATCCATTTTAAGATTTAAGTTATATAAAGTTAAACAGTAAAAATATATGGATTAATTGCTAACCTGGCATTTCCTCTATCCTGGGTTCCTTTGTGAATCGAGAAGCACTTTGGCCAAATGCAGATTTTTTGAGTCCTGATGTTTTCTTTGAGGGCTTGAGAGCAGTTCGAGGATCATTATATGTACCAGGAGCTGGTGTGACTGATTTTATAGGTACAAATCTCTAGTGAAGAACAGGGGGGGAATGTGTCAATGAAAGACTGTACTACATTTTGGCACTTCATGAGGTAAAAATGGCCGTCTTAGTAATATAACATCTAGAGCTTTATATATGTTTTAATGCAGTAAATCTTATGCCTATCAAACCATGAAATAAACAGTTTTTCATAAGTTTATCTATATATTAATACAATAATACATTATGTACATCAATTGTTTAAGAAAATCATCAAAACATAAATTCCTAGATAAAAACATATGGGCAATTTTTACATTTAAAACATCCTGCAAGCCAAGATAATATAAGTAAAAAATTATATGATACAATATGGTTTCTTTTATGTAATAATATTGCATAGGTTAACAATGTTCATTAGCATGTACATTCAATTCGCTCACTAATGTCATTAAATGCCTTAATAAATCTAAAATCTTATACTCAACTAGTTTAGAAATCTAATTTAATAATATAAACATATTAGTATTAAATGTTGTTGTTGTTAAGTGCCATTGAGTCAATTCCGACCCATAGCGACCCTGTACAGGGTTTCCGAGGGTGTAAATCTTTACCGGAGTAGAAAGCCTCATATTTCTCCCGCGGAGCAGCTGGTAGTTTCGAATTGCTGACCTTAAGGTTTGCAGCCCGATTCATAACCACTACGCTACCAGAGCTCCTTATTACAAAATATATATAAAGAGAAAATATGAACTCATGAAATGTTGTTGTTGTTGTTGTTGTTAAGTACCATCTCGACAAAGTCTGGCAATCCTGGCTTCCAAGAAGCATTTTGGCTACACCTTTTCCACCACAGATCTGTTTGCTCTTTTGGTATTGCATGGTACTTTAAAACTTCTCCTCCAACACTATAACTCAAATCAATCAATTCTTCTACAGTCTTCATTATTTACTGTCCAACTTTCACTTGCAATGAGGTTATTGAAAATACAGTGAC